TAGAGGAATGAGTGAAAAATGGGACCAGTGTTGCAGTCTGTGACACCATGTCAGGGCCTTGCACAGTGCTTGGCATATACTCAGGGTTTAATAAGGTTGCTTTCCATCTCTTTACCCTCCTACTTGCACAAACACAAACTCATTTACAAAATCTTGCTGTCCTTGAACGAGTTATTCACTTTCCTGTTCCTGCATTTTTGTATGAGATACCCTACACTTGGACTGCTTTTATCCCATTTTTCTGTCTACCCTGACTCTTCATAGCTGGAGTGAGCCAGAGCTTCCTCTCTGTTAATATAGTTCTGACACTCGGCATTGTGTTTGCATCTTGTCAGGTGTCTACTCCCCTTATTCTGCCTCATCCCACTCTTTCTTGCCCCTAGCTTCCTCTGGGACAGCAATCATATATTCTCTGTCACCATACTGTACCAAGTCTGGCACATGTTAGATTCATTCCTTAAAAGTTTATTTCTCCCATGAGAAAGATAGCATTCCCAACAAGCTCCAGATCCCAGGCGTGTGCCCACCATGCTCAGGCACGTCCTGCTGTGTGAACCCAGGGTCTCCCACGTGGGTCAAGTTGTGTTATCATTGCACCACTGTCTGGTTCCCTCGGTGGGTTCTTAATATGCCATTTGTAAGCATGTTAATAGACTGTTCTATATATATCAATTTTTGTCTTTGAGTTTAAGCTAAAAATAATTCATCTAAATCAATACACAACCATGCATGCTGGTTTTAAAATAAAGTATGGAAACAAAAGCTAAGATTTGTACAGCATAGCTCTTGGCTTAATGTCCTAGTTGAGAAATCAAGCAATCATAGTTCTTCCAATGAAAATAAGCCTACAATTGTTTTCAGGTAATATATTGTGATCAAACCTGCCAGAAAACACACTGGTTTGCACATAAGAAAATCTGTAAGAATCTGAAGGATATTTATGAGAAGCAACAACTGGAAGCTGCCAAAGCCAGGAGCCAAGAGGAGAATGGTATGTGTCTAAATCCGAGCCTGGGCTGGCCCCTGGTGCAGCAGTTCAGCCCTGTGCATGGGAGCCAGATCCCACGTTGCTGACTGCGATTCCAGTTCTTTCAACAGTGGCTTGAAAAACACACGAGGCGTGTGTGCATGCATGCCCAAGGTCCTGACAGAAGGGAGGAAGGGAGGGGAAAGGACTGCAGCGTGACTGCATCTCGCGGCAGGGTGGGAGCTGGGACGGGTGCTTTATCTCTTTTCCTTAGGTGAGCACATTTGCTCTCTGGCAGTTGAAAAAACATTTAAATGAGCTCTTCTGCTTCTCAGTGGGGAGAAGGATGATACAAGACATTAACACAGAGCAGTCCGGAAGTAAGTCTCTGGGGACTAGGAAACTCAGAGGTGACCAACCTAAGGACTACACTTAAACCCAAATATGTCCCCATTTTGAGTCATTAGAATAGTGCGTAGAATACTCAGTCCAGACATCACTTGAAAACAAAGAAATGAAATTCCGAGGAGTGTAGTTATTCCGCACTCCACATTCTAACTCCGGAGACTGCCGTGGAACCTCGCTCTTTCAGTAGGTTTTCACATACATTTTGTTCATGTAGGAGCTTAAGGTCTTGACTAGGAAGTAATTATATTTTCCCTAATGGCTAGAAGATGTTAATGTTGAAAGGCTTTCAAGTTTTTAATTAAACTTCAAAACTAGAGGTAAAGTTATTGAATATATTTACAAATGATAGATTATCCTGTTGAGCTAGTGTACAGATGAAATTTCCACAAGTGTTGGAACAGTGAATTCCGTACTGTGTCTCTCTGCGTACTCTGTGAGGGTCTGTGACTGATTTTCATCGGAAACAGTGAGACGCTTTAGCAATGACTCTCCTTGCTGGGGAGAACCACCCTCACCCCCACAGCCTTCCCCTGAGAATGTACGTTCTGGGGAAGTGTATGTGGTTTGACAAAATTGGCTAGGTGACTTGGATGCTAAGTATTTATAGCTCTTCCTTTCAAGAGACTATGTCCCCTTCACCACTGGTTGAGAAACTTAGTGGGGTTTGGATGATCTGTACAAAGATGAGCCATTTATTGTTAAGAGAGAAGACAGATTTTCAGACTGCCATGCCTTCTTTAGTTTTCTCAGTGACACTTTGTTTTTTAAAATTGTTTTATTTCTTCCATGAGAGAGAGAGAGAGGGAGAGAAAGAGAGACATTCCTCACCAGGTCTCTGCTGCCATCCACTGTTAGTCTTAGCCAGCCCAGATCACAGGCATGTGCACACGGTGCCCAGTGTACACAGGGAGGCTCTGGGACAAGAACCGGGGATCCTCCCATGGAGTCCAGTTGTGTTACACTGTGCCACCATATGGATTACCTACACAAGGACACGCTAATTAACAGGAAAGCTGTATTCAAAAGCAGATTTTGTCAAATCCAAACTGATTACCCTTGTTTAGAGGCTGACTTAGGAGTCACAGGCCTGAGTTCAAATTCTGGTTCTGTTTTAGAAGTTGTGAAACTTAGAGCGAGTTGCCAAACCTCTCTTGTCAGTTTCCCCAGTTGCAAGGTAATAATAGTAATGACCATAGAGATAATCATCTATTCGTGTAGTTGCGATGAGGATGGAATAAGTTAATTCTTATAAGCATCTGAAAGAGTCTGGCACATGGAGGAACAAAGTAACTTTTTCTTTTTATCAGATGGCAAACCCGATGTCAATTCTAATTGCGTTAATGAAGAACAACCAGTGTCTGAAACCAGTATCTCCCAAGAGGATTCCAATCCTAAAGATTCTGTGGAAGGAGAGAAAGAATGTCTTGGAAGTGAGGCTGGGTTGGAAGGCTTTCAGGATGCTCCTGCAGGTCCACGGGCCTCTGAAGAGTGAAAGCCACAGCAGGTACCAGCATGGGTGGTCCTCACCCTGGCAGGTAGCTGGGAAACTCATGCAAATGCGTCCTCATGCCTCAGGTGACCTGTGTGCACCACAGCTGGAGTCCACACTTCCTAGAGCAGCCGCTGTCAAACCATGCTCAGTCTACCCTGCCCGCCTTGCCTATCGATTTCTGTTGTATAAGTGAACAGATAGTCCCCCCCAAATTGTTTTCTATCAAAATAAAGGAAAGACATTTCTATTACTTTTCTGAGGCTGGTTCCACAGAGGTCCTCAAAGGAAAATAAATCGTCCTAAGAAATACAGGCTAAAGGGAACAAAGGGACAAGCTGAACAGGTGTGGGAGAGAGATTTTTCAGGAAAGAAAAATTTTATAGCCACAGAGCTGGGTATTTAGGAAAACTGTAACTTATATGTGAATAAAGTGCATCTAAATAGCATTGACAGTAGTGAAGTTCTTACTAGGAGGTAATACAAGGAAGAAATGCTGTACGTTAAAGAACTTTTGCCCTCGCTCAGCTTGCTGTTGTTTTACGTAGAAACTATCCAGAACTATGCAGAGCAGTCTGAACCCTGTAGTTCGGCAGTGAAATGCTGTCTCCAGTGTCTGCAACTTCGGAAGTGTCAGGTACACTCAGAAGGCACTAAGGCCTAGCCAGCTTACTTCAGCATGTACATTAGAAAAGACACTCCTGAAATTCTTCCTTAAATAATGGGTAAGCTTATCGTGTACATAATTATTGTAAAACTAATTCACGTGCCATGCTCCACCTACAAGGCTGACTTTGATCTTCCTGTGAGCTTTCTGCAGGGTTCTTCCTGTCCAGAACAGGGATTGGTAACTGTCACTTACAGAGTGAACCAACATCAGTTTTTAGTATCTACAGTATTTAAACAGCTAGCGTGTGATGTCTGAAGATAACGCTGTGTTTCAAAGTTTCTTGTGTTGATTTTAAAATAAATTGTGCCTACTAAGACGAACACCTCATCTTGTTTCATGATTGATTGCTGTGGAGGTGGCAGATATTAGAAAACTGAACCAATAGTAGGGAACTTAGCAAATATGGAAGAACGAGGAAGTCTTTATTTTTAATATGTGCAATTGCAGATCAGAATGACTGCAAGTCTTCCCTCACTTTGCCGATCAAGTTCTTCTATCTTGTTGATCCTCATCTTCCTTATATTCGATTGTTTTTATCCCAGTCCCAACACACAAACCTTCGCACACACCCTATTCCATGCCACTCCCGGCGACTTCATGTTAATACGTTTAATGTTAAGAGTTAGCGCTGCAGGAATTCTGTGGGCAGATTGTCTGAACTTGCCAAACCTATCTTCTCTTGGCAAAATACAGTGATTTATCAAAATACCTTGTCTACATGCTAAGAAACATTTATTTCTAAGTAGTAAAAGAGTCCTCCCAGGCCTCCCTTTCCCAAGGTTCCCTGATTTATAATGACTTTATGTATATGTTTGTGTTATCATTCTCTTCCGTTTCTTCACTTCCCTCTCTGCCACATACTGTGCTGGGCTCTGACCAAAAAAAGCAAAGAAATAGGAAAACAAAGATATGGCAACGTACAGGTAATTTCTTCTTTTATTGAAACAAATTGCTGTTACGAATTAGAACACCAGTAGATCCAGCTGGCATAATTAGGAACATTAAACTTGGACAAAGAATTCAGGCATATGCCATATCAATATCATATTTTTTCTCAGGTGTGTATGTTAGGTGACAGAATAGGATTTAAGGCTGTGGTCTCGTAGCTAAGGGAGCCAGATCCCAAGTGACAGACTACTGTTCGAATTCTTGCCCTGGCAGCTTGAGAAGACATGCCAGCAGTTCGTAGGTGCCCCACATCCTGAAAGGATGGAGAAATGGAGAAGGAACTGTGGCATGACCACACCCCATTGTAAATTCATGTACCCTCTGGTGAATGCATGTACCCTCTGGCAATACAGACATAATTTTAAAAAAAGAAAAAGAGAAAATGGGGTTTTAAAAAATGGGGTTAATTCTTTTCTAATTCTTTTGGTTGTCACAAATCATCATCAAGGGCCAGTGAAGGTAGCCAAATAAAGCTGAGCTGCCTTGTTTGAGTCCTGGACCTAAAGACTTGAAAAAATGCTGAGTGTGCATATGCATGCCCCAAATCCCATCAGGATGCAGAGATGGAGGAGAAAGGATTGTGGCGTGATGGCGTTTCACTGGGATACTTTCTCTTTCACTCTGCCTCTGGTGAGTACATGGGCCTTCCGGCAATTTTAAAAAAAATAAATAAATAAAAACAGCAGGTGATCATTCTTGTTATTTTTTTTTTTCTTTCCATGTTGAAGTGTTTTCAGTATGCCATCAAAATCTTCTCTTAAACAAAAATAGGGTATTTAGGAATATTAAGGTGGAGGCCAAAGAAAGGTACAACAATGATGTGATGCCCTGCAAGGATTGATGCACATGGGAGGGACCCCAGTTTTTGTCCTAGGGACTCCTCATCCTTGCCAGGTGAGTGTACTTGTGTGCCCATGGTCTGCACTGGCTGGGGCTGGGAGTGGGTCATAGTATGGCAACCCTGTTGGACGTGCTTCTCTCTCTCTAATGGAAGAAATAGATTTTTTAAAAATATATTTTAGGGACCAGCAGGTGGCGTGGTGGTTAAGGTGCTAGACACTCCCACATGGCTGACCAGGGTTCAAGTCCTGAATCTGGTTGCTTGCTTTCTCACTTTCTCTCTCTCACTGTCACCCTCTGTCTCTCTTTGGTCAAATTAAAATAAATAAATAAATGAATAAATAAAATAAATAATTATTAAAATATATATGTGTATATATTTTAAAAGAATATTAAATTGAATTGTTTTTGATTCAATATGTAATGATAATAGCTATGACTGAAAGTCATACAATCCTTAGTTATCTTGTTTACTGTTCACAACACCCCTATAAATTAGACTATTTTTACCTCAGAGCACAGATGAGGAAATTGAATTCTAAAGAGGTTATCTATTATATTCAAAAGTGTAGGACGGAAACTCTAAGGTCTGCCATTTTGACTCTTAATACTTTGTGGTACATTCCCATGTACTAACTTCACTGTAATATTCCTGCAGATAAGATTTTAGAGTGCTAAAGATAAGCCATTATTTTACAGGATAGAGTGGATATTTCCTAGGCTCTTAAAAAGGTCACTGATTTTAGTCAGCCTTCATTCATCTGAGTTTACTTGAATTTTAATATTATTAGGTATTTAACTTCATAGCAATTATTTTTTATAATTTAAAAATTTTATTATATTTTTATATTGCATTTAATCACATATATATTTACAGAGTATTACATTTCTTTTTCTAGCATGATTATCATGCATGTCAGTCAAGACAAAGACATCACTGTCCACATCATCCTCATCAAAAAGCTTTTCATTTTTTTCATATCATGATTATTATTTAAATTCTCATTTTTTTTAAACGTTCAATCACTATACATCATTTGGCTTGTAAAGAGAATTTACTTAACAAGACATACTTCTCAGACCAGTCCAGTTGAGAATACTCTACATGTCATCATCAATAGGTAATAACCATTTCCGTGTCGCACAAATGTCATGCCTCTCTATTTGTTCTTGTGCTATCCTTCTCCTGACCCTTCCCTTTAAACTTCATAGCAATTTTGAGAGTGGGGATTTTTGCTGTTTATCCTTTCAGGATACCATTTCCCTACTTCTGAAACAAGTCAGTACCCTTCTTGAGCAAGAATGGTGGTTCTTCCAATTTAGGTGGTGCTATGATTATTGATTATTGCCAGTCATGGTCCTCCTCCCTGCCCACAACCAGACTGATCAGAGCACTTCTCAGAAATTTTTCATTCCTAAAGTTAAAGAGGGGAGACTTACATACTTGTTTTTCATTTGTTTCTTCTGTAGGACAGTGCTGAATTACAAAGCTCTAGCTCCAGAGTTGTCAGAACATGATCCCTGACATGTAGAGCACTTGAGAGTCGCTTACATGAGCAAACAAATTTACCATTTGGATTTCTGTAACTTAGAAGCAAAGAATCCTTTTAAATATATTTTGTGACAACTAGAAAAACAAATGGAAACAAATCCTACATGTAACTATAAAAAAAAGAAAAATGAGGGAACCAGCAGTTAGCGTAATGGCTATGTCGTTGGACTCCCACATAGTCGACCGCGGTTCGTGTCCCGGACCCGGTGGCTTAAAACCCACGCTGGGCGCGTGTGCGTGCGTGCCCAAGATCCCGAGAGGAGAATGGAGGAGAAGGGATTGCGGCGTGACCATCCCCCCAGGGGGTGATTTCTTGCTTTCTGTCTCTATGTCTCTCTCTGTCTGGCGAGCACACGCGCCCTACAGTGAAAATCTCTCTCAAAAAAAAAGAAAAATGATGGCACATAATTAGAATGTTTAAGATTTTTATGGTTCTAGGGAAAAAACTGGCAGTTCAAATTTTGAATTTGATCGGAACTGTCACATTTGGTAGAAAGCATACCACCAAAGTAAGGTTTTTGCATCTCTTTATTGTTTATTTGGAAGAACTCATATTGGCTTGAAATAGTATAGAAGTGGGGCCTCAGGAAGGACATTTGGAGGAGGGATACAGAGGGAGAGCATTGATGGGATGGGGAGGTGTGGTGTTATTGGTTGAAGATATTTTGATCAACTGGACTGGGGAGAAATGTCCACATATTGAAATATTCACTTTTTTTTTCCTTTCTTTTTTTGGAGAGGATTTTTGCTATAGGGCACGTGTGCTCCCCAGACAGACAGAGACAGACAGACAGAAAATGAGAAATCACCCCCCCAGGGGAGATGGACACACTGTCACACCCCAGGGGGGATGGCCACACTGCAATCCCTTCTCCTCCATTCTCCTCTCGGGATCTTGGGCACACACACACACATGCCCGGCGTGAGTTTTAAGCCACTGGGTCCGGGATGCGAACGGCAGTCGACTACGTGGGAGTCCAGCGACATAGCCATTACGCTAACTGCTGGTCCCTTGAAATATTCACTTTGTAAGCTAAACTATGTGATTGAATGTATATTAAAAAAAAATTTAAAAATAAATAAATTTTAAAAAGAAAATAGGGAATGTTTACATGAACTGATTACATTAAAGCCCCATCTGTATAAACAAAAGATACTTATTTCCTAAAAAAAGTCTTCTTCTCATAAATACTGTAATAGATGAATAAATTTTCCTCCCAAAAGATAGCTGTAGTCTAGTTCATAGGGCCACTTTTATGTACCCTTTAGGGAATATGTTGTAGTTTTATAAATAAACACATTTTTAAATGGTGATCATCATTTGTGTAGAATCAATCAGTTATGATTGGTCAGTCATAATTGACCAATTCAGGGCAAATGTATTTTTTAGCTAATTCATGTACTCATCCAAAGCCACTTATTCTGATGATGATTCTAAATGGTTAAGATGCTTTTCAGCTTATTTATTTCTGGTATGAGAGAGAGAGAGAGAGAGACAGGAATCCCCGACAGGACCCTTACGCTCTGACCCAACCCCAGCCTCGGCCTGACAGGATCATGAGCATAGGTATGTGTGCCCAGCATAGGTGGAAAACTCACACTGTGAACCTGGGACCTTCCCATGTGGCCTCAGCATTGTGGAGTGTTACATTACTACTGTGTCACTATAGTTGGCCCCAAATAAAGAAGATTTTAATGTAGGGGAAATAAAAATCAAGTCTAGAAAAAAACATGTTTTTTTGTTTTGTTTTGAGAGATTTTTGCGTGCGTGCGCTTGCCAGAGAGACAGAAAGAGACAGCGATACAGTGAGAAATCACTCCCCAGTAGGGATGGCCACGCCGAAGTCCCTTCTCCTCTATTCTCCTCTCGGGATCTTGGACATGCACGCATACATGCCCAGCATGAGTTTAAGCAACTGGGTCCAGGCCTTGAACTGCAGTCTATTATGTAGGAATGCAGCAACATAACCATTATACCGTCTGTTGATCCCCATGAGTGAATTTTTTATGACTTATTGTGAAGAAGACTTTTGTAAATATACTAAACCCAGAAGCTACAAACAAAAAGAAATTCAGCTTCATTTTAAAAATAATTGGAATGCTGCTGCTTCTAGGAGGATGGAGTAGATCTACTTTTCCCTCTCCCTCATCCCAAGTAAAGCAAAAATCCCAGGACATTATGTATAAGACTTAGAGTGGAAGATGGACAGATGAGAGTAGACTGGCTAGGACTCTAGGACACCAGCATCAAATTCAGCGAGTTCTCTGGGTATTCCTCTGCCTCCTCTGTCTCAGATTTGGAGCTCGAGAACTAGTAACGTGTAAACATCAACAGCCACAACAACAGCAAAGTCCATAGGAAAAACCTGCCAGTCTGCTGTCCTGCTCTACAAACTTTAAATCTGACAGCCCCCACAGTGGTGTGAGCCAGTTCCTTAAATCTCTGTATTTATATGCATATATCCTATGGGTTCTGTTTCTCTCTGTAGAACCCCGGCTTCTACATATGGTGTCTTAGTCCATTTAGGCTATTATAACAAATTACTAATTAACAAATTATTAATTAACAGATTAGACCGAGTGGCTTAAACAATACGTTGCCATCTCTCTTAGTTCTGGAGACCGTAAGGCCAAGATCAGGGTGCCAGCAGAATTTGGTCCTTGGTCCCTCTTCCTGGTTTACAGGCTGTCTTGCTTTGTTCTTCCATGGAAGCAAGAGAGCAAGCTATCTCTCTGGCCTTTTCTTTCTAAGGGGATTAATTCCATTCATAAAGGCTTCATCCTCATGCCTAATCATCTCCCAGAGAGTCCACCTCCAGATACTGCCACGTTGGGGGTTAGGTTTCAACATACAAACTTGGGGGAGACAGCAACATTCAGTCCATAAACTAAGTATAGTCCCTCCGGGACACAACCACTCTTGGGATGAGAATAACCGTACTAGCCAACATGAGTACTTGAAGGAGGCCACTTTACCTCACCCTTTACATGCACCATCCTTCTTAATTCTTGAGGCACTATGACTGCTATTATTTTTAAATAAGAAATTAAAGACCAGAGGAGTTACCAACTTTTCCAAGTGGATAACTAATAAGTGTAAGAGCTAAGCTAGATCAGTCTGACTCTGGAGCCCCAGTTTTTAGTCACAGCCCTCTGTAAATCTCTATGCTAGTATTTTCCCTTCTAACCGTCAGACCTCTGGTGGATCCTGAAATAAACATGCTTTCACTTGAGTCAGCTTGAATCGGTCTCTGTTGTTTAAAGCAAAAACTTATTTATAAACACTCTCAATAATCATGTGCTCTATTTTGGTAGAGTTTTAAGTTACTTAAGTAGGGATTATGTCTTTTATTTTGTGTTTCTCCCAAAATAGTGTTGCACATAATGTTTCCAATCAATCATACCCACATATTAGACTAAAAGTTTTGAATAAAAAATACCCACCATTGAGGAATACTTTTATTATTATCACTATTATTATTATTATTTGTGAAAGGGCCTGATAACAATCTCAGACCTCCCATGTGGCCTCAGCTTGCCCAGTATCATGGCCAACCCATGAGTGCTACACAGTTGGGCCTCCTATACTTGATTTATTTGCATCCTTAATTTACTTCAGTCTAATTTAAAATTTAATACTGTTTATGTACTTTATGGGTCATCTTAAGCTTAATCCCAAATAAACGATTTCCATTATGAAATAGATTGTTATGTTTGGTGGGCCTGTCTGTGTGCAGCTCATGAGGAGTAGCTTTAGTCAGCTTCTTGGTCGATGCCAGGCTCTCAGCACAGGATGGATGCAGGAGCATGCCTGGAACTGCTACTTGAACAGTGCATAGTTTGGTGCTAGAGATGATGTGGCCTTGCCCCCAAGAGTCTTTGGGGACTGCACTGTGACTCTTGGAGATTGCTGCAGACTCCACAAGGAATTATGGATTATTGGGAGTACTTTAAGTATTGCTGGGTAACAAATTCTCTCCAAATGTATCAGCTTGAAACATCATTAAGCATTATCATATATCTTCTGCAGGTCAGAAATCCTGTAGCAGCTGAACTGAGTGCTTCTGCTGGGGTTTCTTGGGAGGGTGCAGTGAAGCTTTCCACTAGGGCTGCAACCACTGAAGGTATAATTGGATCTGGAGGCCCTCCCTGTTGGCAGGATGGCTCACTCACATGGCCTCCGATAGGAGGCTTTAGATCTTCTTTTGGAAGGAGGCCTTGGTTTCTCAGAACATGGATCTCGCCAGAGGACTGCTTGAGTATCCTTATAAGGCAGCTTGATTCTCCTAAAATAACTGTCCCAGGAGAGAGGACAAGAGACTGTCTCAATTTTTTCTATTACCTTACCTTGCAAGCCAGACACAATCATTTTGACCTTGATATCACCCTCATACACATGAATCTTTTTCTTTGTCCTAGCTGCAACCTTCTTCCAGGGACCATGCCTGAATTTTCAGTCTCTGACTGTGCACAGAATCCTAAGTGCCCACAGGTGAAAGATGCACGCTGAGTCCCATTGCCAATTCATTACTCCTCCTAGGATGCCATCTCTTGCCTGATTCAGGCCACATCTATACGGTGTCTGTTTCCTAAGCACCATCAGATATGGGAAATGTCCCTCTGACTTTTACAAGCATTTTAATTAAGCTCCTTAGCTGGGGAAACCAACGATAGTTTGGGTTACTTTAGATGTCCAGTTTTGTCACTCAGCATCAGGCAATTGCTAATACAAATTTATTTGGTTTCTTTTTCCCTAGCAGCGAGCGTTTCACTAGACCAAGTGCATATCATTAGCTCCCACCCAGAACTAGCAAATGCCTCTAGAGGTGAGACTATAAAAACAGTACACTGGTGCTGGCCACATGGCCTAGAGGCTAAAGGAAGCAGATCTCATACAGCCAACTGTGGTTTGAATCCCAGCCGTGGTGGCTTGAAAAACACTGGGTGTGTGTGCATGTATTCTCAAAATCCCAACCAGGATGGAGAAATAGAGGAGAAGGGACTTTGACAAGACCATACCCCATTGAGGTATGCTTTCATCTCTTCCTATCTCTCTGGCAAGAACATATGCCCTTTAGCTTTAAAAACAAAACAAGGGGCCAGCAGGTGGCATGGTGGTTAAGATGCTGGATTCCCACATGGTTGACAGCAGTTCAAGTCCTGCTTGAAACAAGTTGGTCTGGCAGCTTAAAAATCATGGTGGGCACATGTGAATGAGTGCACAAAATCCTAGGAGAATGGAAGAGAAAGGATTGTGGCATGGCCATCTCCCTGGGGGGAGGGTGATTTCTTGCTTTCCCTCTTCTGTTTCTGTCCAGTGAACACATGTGGCCTATGGCAATAACAAAACCAAACCAAACCAAAACTAAAAAACGAAATAAACCAAAAGCAAAACAAAGTACATTTCATAAATACATTGTCGTCCAGTCATACAGTGGAATGCTACGGAGCAGTGAGAATGACAGACCTATTGCTACTAGCATTGCACAGATGGATCTTTCAGTGTCAAGTGAAAGGAGCCAGATGCTAAATCATTTATGATTCCATTTATATGCCTTTTAACATCGGGCACAATTTATTGTCTAGAAATCAGGACAGCGATCACTTGGGAACGGTGGGCAGGGACTGGTAGGAGGGGCTCTTTTGGAGTGCTGGCAATATCCTAGCTTTTGATTTAGGATGCTGGTTACATAAACATGTCATTTTTAAAAAATTTAACTGTTATGATTTGTGCACTTTTTTTTATAAAGTAATCCCCCTTTATCTGTGGGGGACTAAGACCCCAGGGGATGCCTGACATCATAGACAGTACTGTGGTTTTCTCTATATGTACTTATGATAAGGTTTAATTTATAAATTCAGCAAAGCAACAGATTAACAGCAATAACTGTACAATAGCACGATCATAATAATCCACTGTCATACAAGTTATATGAATGTGGTCTTTCTTTCCTAGTGACCTTATTGTACTGTACTCACCTATTTTCAGGCTGCAGTTGACCACACAGGCCATTGAAACAGTGGAAAGTGAAACTGTGCATAAGGGGGATTACTGCATATTTTTACTTTAATGAAAACTTTCCATGAATAAAACTAAAACGTAGAAATAATTTTTCATTTTTGGTGTTTCTGTTCACATTTAAATGTTTCAAAACCCATCATAACACATATATAATATACTAAGTGGCAGGGAAGTTCAATACACAACCGAATACTAGTTGGATTGCTAGAAATACCGGGGATTATCTCAGTGTGATTTTGAGCATTTGAGCAGGTTTTGTGCCTGTTCCTTCAAGCTGTTTTTCCTCTCGTGTTGGAACTGTGTCCCAGTTCATAGAGGTGAAAGTCATCACTGATCTCTTCAGGGACCTTACGAAAACAGCATCTTCTGGGTCATCAAATACAGTTCTGCAAGAATAGCAGTTGTGTCAGGAAAAAAATCAATTTGTCCAACATGAAATTTTTACTTAGATAAATAATACCATATTTTCTGTAATATTTGTAGTATAGTGCTACTAACAAATAAATTGTGAACTCTACTGTCAAATGATTTTAGACTAAGTGACACTATTTTTATTATATATATGGTTTATTTTAAATTTAAAAAAAATTAATTTTATTTACCTATTTATTTATTTATATTTGACCAGAGATGAGAGAGAGAGGGGGAGAGAGAGAGAGAGAAAGTGAAAACTTAAGCTGCCAGATCCAGGACTCAAACTACACAGTCAGACATGTGGGAGTGCAGTGCCCTTAACCACCACGCTACCTGCAGGCTCCATGTGGTTTATTTTAAAAGTAGGATATCTGAGCCAGTAGATGGTGCAGGCCACTGGGTCACCCATGGCCTACTGTGTGGTTGAAGTCTCAGATCCAGCAGCATGACAAGCACCAGGCTAGTGTGTGTACATGCCCCAAATTCTGAGAGAATGGAGAAGGGACTGTGGCATGGTCATCCCCCTGGGGGGTTATTTCTCATTATTTCTTTCTCTGTCTCTCTCAGCGAGCACACGTGCTATATAGCAAACTAAAGAAAAAAAAAAGTGTCTGTATATATTTGGGGATCCACTATTACAGTTTAAGTCTCAGACACTCACGTGCTCATGTTTAAAAGCAGTATTAAAATAAATTTTTTTTAGTTATATTCATATAAATACCTTAAGTACCTTTATCACAAACTTATTATTTTTCTACCTTAGACTAAATTTTATAAATGTGCATGAGGACAATACTTTTCAACACTGAATCAAAAGATAAGATTTCCACATGCAAAACCAAAAAAAGAATGGTGACATTTAGATTCATCAATATTCATGAATTTGAAATGTTTTGCATGATATTAATGAAGTATTTGCTTTTGAAAATGTAAATTCCAGTGAACTAAATGTTAATCTACATGATAATTGTTCTTCCTGTACCTACTTAGAGGAAAAACAAACAAGGGAATGTAAGCTTCTCACTGGGACTAGCAAATAATTCTTTACATGTTTTATTTTTTACACATTAAATCACCTTTCATTTATTTGAGATAATAACACTCCATTTAGGAAACGCAGGTAATTTATGACATTGCAGTTATGAAATAATCTGATAAAGGTAAAAAGCCACTTACTTGTCTACGTTATTTGCAAATGTAAAATCTGAAAAAAATACATTTCTAAATTAAATTTCTCATCATTTTATTCATCAATCAAAAACAATGAGACAGTATTACGAAGGATAAATCTAGAGTACTAGTTTTCTTTTTTCAAGCAGCTATTTACATAAATACTTCTAGAATTGCCTTGATACCTAACCTAAACCTGAAAGTTTATGTTAAATAGGTTTTTGTCCTAGGGCATGTGCTTGCCAGAGAGGGACAGTGAGAAGGAAAGTGAGAAATCACCTCCCCAGAGGATGGCCAGCCTCAGTCCCTTCTCCTCCTGGGATTTTGGGCACACACACACACACACACAGAGGCCTGGCATGATTTTGAAGCCACCAGACCCAGGGCTCCAACTACAATCAACTATTTGGGAATCCAGCACCTTAACCATTATGCCACCTGCTGGCCCCAGATACGGTAATTTTTGCCTTAGGTTTTAGGACAGTCTTTTTTTTTTTTCTTTTTTTTTAACTTTCTTCCATGAGTGAGAGAGCTAGAAACAGAGATTGAGAGACAGATACCCCAATGGGATTTTTTTTTTTCCCTAACTAACTGAGTTTTATTTGTTGTATAAGCCACCTTACATCTTTTGGGTGAAAAAATACTAAATTTGAATAAAGATATTACAAAATGAATTCGAGCCCAGTAAAAATTAGCCTTGGGGAGGGAACATAATTCTACTCAATTACGGCAAACATTTTTATAGCCCACAGATTAGTTTATTTTTAACACCCATCAAGCCATGAATTCCTAGGGAATAGGTTCCAGCAGCTCAGGCTCCTTTCCATTGTTTCTCACAAAGTGTGCTCCTCTGGGTGGAGCCAGGCTGGGGCTTTAGTTGAACTCAGGTACCTTTCTCTTTGGCTTCCTTCTTTTTCTGGTTGTTTTCCTTCACACATTTAGGAAGCTATCTCTGTTCTTAGAATGCTTAATATGCTCAATACGCATATTAATTCTCTTGGCAAGAATCTTGCCCTTAACTTGTTTATTTGCAACAATGCCAACAGCATGCTGGGTAACATTGTAGACTCTCCAGTTTTGCCATGGTAACATCTGTGGGGCATTTCTTTTTGAACAGTAGTTCCCATTCCCATGATGTCTACAATATCACCTTTCTTGGAGATTCGCATGTATGTTGCCAAAGGAACAACTCCATGTTTTCTAAAAGGCCTAGAGAACATGTAGCGGGCG